AACGTCAAAATACAGTCTGATTATACCGTCGCACCATTGGGGATGCCCTCAACTTTTACTTCGAAGTACTTTTATGATTTGTGAGTTTGCAGTACAGCATTGAAGGTTGAGTTTGTCCTACAATTATACCGGTATCACCACCACCTTGATGAAAATGGATTCAAATCGGAGGCACAAACTTTAATTCACACTGGTAGTGGTGATAAATCGACGAACTCGCTGTGTATACGGTCATCATGGTGGCTGCATGGTCAACCTTCGTCCCAATCATCGTATATCCGTATTGACTAAATGCCCCAAAAGGTTGAATTGCCCTATTGCATTGTATCGTTTCCGTACTCATGGTGAATCTATCCAAGATATTGTGCCAAATCCGTGATTTGACATGATAAACAACGTGATTTTTGCATTATTCGTACACGTTAAACGACGGGGGTTTCGTGCTGACGAGGTGCAAAAAAAACGGTATCATGATTTGAGTTGTGCCACGTACATGTATATACCTAAAGTGAACTGTACTGCGAAGTACACTACGTACCAGCAGTCTTTTTTATATATGAGATGCTGTGCAGTCTCTTCTAACTACTACAGTAGTTGACAGTTTTACCCACATGCTTATTGTCAATTGAAATTGGAATGAGGTGCTCAATCGAATGAGTAGCACCAAACTCAAAACCCTGATCACTTATCAAGTAGCCAATCAAATCCACTTCGACCAATTCAACATCGAATTAGTCTATGATTTAAATTAGTGTGACATTGGACTGTTAATCACAGTACCGGTACAGTACATAGAATTGATCGATAGATTTGTTGAACCAGCACAAAACTCCAAATTTTGGGTAAAGGACGTTCCAAGTCTGACGAATGCGTCTTACTGTACTTGTAGCTCACAATCACTCCGTATGTGTTAAAAGTACAACTTTATCAATGAAACAGTTCGGGACTACTGTACGAGTCTAAAAAGTTACTTGATCGCTCGACATTCGTGGTTACGGGGTTTGTGAAATCCACACGCACAGCACATGTCGTACACCAAGTTGTGCAGTGTCAAGTACCCCAGGGTATTCGCTTGGATTTGATCCATTGCGTCGGACCATGAGATACCACAGCCAGGACGATTCACATGCAGAAATTGAACGATGTGAAGGTGGCCGTGGATGGCTGCCGCGCGCATGGCGACAGTCGCAGAGCCACACCTTGGCTTCACGCGATGCATGTACGACAGGACAGCCAAGTGTCCCGCGGCGGCCGCCACAGCGAACGCTTCTGCGGCCCAGGTTTGGCCTCCATGTTCATGACACCACTGAACAATATGAACGTGTCCTCGCGACGCCGCGGCGTTCACCATGGCTCGTGTGCAGGTTTGCATTCGTTCGACGTGCATGTATACGAGAACATTGAGGTGTCCATGAATTGAAGCGGCCAGCATCGCTCGATGCGTGCCAGAGTAGTAAGACATGGCGTGCAACGCGACGATGGCAGGGAGGTTGCCACTGACCGCGGCAACTTCCACGAGGTCGTCGTGGTCGAAAGCATCTAGTTCGAGGGTTTTCAGAAGATCAGGCTTGTTGGTAGCGATGGCGTGCAGTATCACCCTGGAAGTCAAGTGAGGCAAGTACACCAACAGCAGCGGCACCCGTGCGTCCCCGTGTTCTGCGATCCATAGATCCAAGATGCAACTGGTGGTCGTGCTTGCCAGCGACGTCAACGGAACCATGTCCTCCAGCACACCATGCTGGAACTCGGCAACCAGAGTGAAAAGACCGCGGCAGCACAAGAGGTATCGAGTCGAGCTGACGGCCATGGCGACGAATTGAATTGTGTGAGTGTGGTCGACAAGTTGGGAGGATCGATGATTTGATCGAAACGCCACACCGTTAGCGTTACATCCCACCTGTTTGTTGCCGTTTCTGTTTTTGGAAAACCGGTAGCATCCCTTTGATTGGTTCATTTCGGAGAGGTATTCGATTACGATTGGCTGAAAATAGGTACGACAGGCAACACGGATCAAAGTGCATATAGGTGTCGTGTGATTGGTGGAGAACATTAAGTTCAAGCTCAACCATTGGCCCTTTCCCCTTCCTGCTGATGTCGCCACTTCCCACTACCGTGACCTCTCTCTCGTTCATTGATAAGCCAAACTTTCAGCGTTTCGATGAATGATGGACGGTTAGCAAGTACAATACACACATACATACTACTAGTATATACTAGTACTTCGAAGTAGTAGCCAAGGATTCCATTTGGACGTGAAACGGTCGTCGTCGGAAACGGTTTCACTGACGGTTTCATTGGGTTGCCCGACTTTCCCACTGGTGGTACAGACTGTACCACCAGTTCTTTACAGTACTGTACCACCAGTTCTTTACAGTACTGTACCGTACAGTACTGTAAATAACTCAACATCCTATGTATGCCCTAGTGCGCATACATATATATATTCACACATATTGTCCTTTTACCCAAAATGTGGACCTTTGCGCTGATTCTTCGCCAAATCTATCGATCGATTCTTTGTAACTTACTGACTTTTGTATGTAAAAATGGTCCAATGTCACACTAATTACATCCACACACTAATTCGATGTTGTCTGCGTCAAAGAGTGGAATTGATTGGCTCCTTGATTAGATTTCGTGGTTTTGATTGGTCGGTCGATTTTCTGCTCATTCCATTGAGCACACAAAACGCGACACTGTGCTTATCCCGCTTAGCGATATCGTTCTCCTAGTCCACCCAAGAGGCCGTGGGTCGCAATGTAGTGGGAAAACAACTGCGTCTTCAAGAACGCTTGGTAAAACGCGAGGGTCGCGCCATCTCCTTGTCGATGCTGTTGGAGGAACCCGATCGAGTCGAACACGACCATGCTGTCGCCGTCGTCGGCCAGGACAAAGCTGAACTCCTCCATGCTGTCCAGCATCCTTTCCCACGTCTGGTGAAACAGTGCGAGGATGTCCGCGTCTGGGAATGCCGCGGGCGCCGCCGTCCACGACACGTCGTCACTGCACTCGACCTCTGGACGGACGAGCACTCGCAGCGCCGCTTCTAATGCAACCGCTTGCGGAAGCACATCCGGAGTATCATCCGGATGTCGACTGTTATCCGGGTGGGTATCCGGATATCGTCGCGGATCTTTTGCGTGGCTGCGTCGCCGAGGGGGCGGCTTGACGTGGCACTCGATGCCGTCGGCGTCCAAGTCCACAACCATGACCGTCGAGTCCGAGTCCTGAACGACATTCAGCGCTGTCGAGGCTAATGTGCGGTGGACGCCAAACACAAACGGGGTCGGGCAGTGCAGACAGTCTACAAGGCAGGCCGGCAAGACGGGCGCGAACACATGTGGCCACTGCAACGGGCGCAGAAGCAGCCGTAGCGTCTCCCCAACTGTCGTGAGCACGGACACATGACTCGAGATGAGCAGCACCTTGCGTTCGCAGAGCACTGCCGCCAGCACTTGCAGCACATGCTTTGGCGACAAGCACGTGAACAAGGTGTGCGTTGACAATTCCGTCACGACTGACGACTCAGCCGTGAGCGCAGAGAGCTGCGCCAACGTCGGACGCCACTGCGTGCTGGTGGCATACGTCGAGTCGGGATCGGCCGTGGCGTCCGCATGTAGCTGTCGCAGTCGCCGCCGCACCGTTTCAAAGTTCGGGACGCGGCTCAGCACGCAAATACCAGCGAGGACAAACCGCCGTAGGTTTTTCTGTTCGAGAAGCACGAGCTCGAGCGGATTCAGCTCCGCGGCATCCGTGATGGGAATGTATCTCGAAAGGCACACCATGTACAGCGGACGATCTGTTGGGCCGATCGTGACGTGGCAGAGCGACGGCGGCGGGTGCGTCTGACTGCGGACCACCGACGGCGTCCCTCCAGGGCAAAAGAACGCGTCCAAATGCTCTGGCAACTGAGATGATTGGTCCAGGGACGTCGTCGAGTCGTACAGGACGTCTGTATCGAACATCGTAGAGGACGCCTGCAAGGCGAAGTGAAGTACCCCCGCGATGCATTCGGCGGATGGATGAGAGGGAGATAGCGACAGCGGCGATTGGTGCGATGAGTGGACGTTCATGACGTGGACGACGTCCTGAAGGGTCGAGTTGGAGTCGTTGCTGCTGCTGTTGCTGCTGTCGCTGCTGCTGGATGGTGACGCTAGTCGTTGGTCCTAAGCACAAAAATGTAAAGATATATATATATATATATATATATATATATCGTCGTATCACCGCGAATTATTCTCATGAATACGACTTTGATATCCATGCATGAATGTATATATCCATGCATGAATAATTTATATATATATATAGAATAAATACGACTTTGATATCCATGCATGAATTTATATATAATATATTATTATATACATATATCGGTAAGGTGCAAAGTCAAAAGAGTATTGGTAGTACTGAAGGATTGATGAATACAAGTCCTGGTATACTAATAGACGAGACACTTCAAAAGAGTATTTACTGTTAAATCGAGTAGTATTGTGCTTTCGAGTGAAATTTCATTGTGTTGTGGCGTGGATTCTCGTTGGAATTTAAATCGATTTGATTGGCTACCTCAGATGAGCTCAAAATTATTAGCCAATCAAAACCTTCTCAATGAAATTCAACCAATCAGGTCGATTGTGGATCGGTTTGGTTGGCGCGATCCTCTCCCCAAATATGTATCAAATCGACAATATATATAATTGTACTCAATGAAATAGACAGATCGTTCGTTCTCAACGATTCAATGCCATACCGTGAATGAAACACAGAAATCCATACACATATATATATGTATATCGAATCGGACATACCTGGAGCAAGACAGATGCACTGGTGGGGTTGCCATGGGGGGGATTTGGTCGAGTTTTGTGGGGACTGAGGCACAATCGACTACGAGACGGAGACAGGAGCATCGAATGGAAGCTCGGGCTTTGAATGAACCGTACAAAGTGGTTCATATGCAGCGTATCCTTGACGTGGCGGAGCAACTGTCGCAGCAGCTTGGCCATCGAAAGCACATGTATAAAGTTTCCACTGCTCCACTCAGCCAAATGCGCTTGAATCGCTTCGACCAGTTGCGTCGGGGCCTCGCCATGGACGTGGAGTTGGGCGGTGGCGCCGTGGTTAAAGTATTTGGTCTGGAGCAGCCGGCCGAGATGTGTCAGGGACGATAAACAAGAGGCGGGTTGAAGTGTCGGGGACGATATACATGAAGCGGCAAGATCCGGATTCGGACGAGACTCCAGCAAAGGCAAGATGCGATACGTCGACTCCATCCAGAAACTCAACGGGCCGTGCGTGCGTTCTTTGAACAGAAATAGCCAAAATACACAGCACAGTCGCCGGTTGGCTAGTACCTACGAACGACAGGAATTCGTTCATATGAACAAGGACAAGTGAAATACGGCATTTTGCCCACATCGTAGTATTTCGTGAATAGGAAGTACCCCGTACATAGTATACGTGGGGACGAAAGACATATCGAGAATCGTATGGCCGTGGTATGAGTTAAGAGATAAATTGTACGGAAAGATAGCATGGACACGAAAGCTGAATCAATCAATGACGGTACCCGTTCGAGGGTGAAGCTGCTGGTGGCATGCTGCAACTCGACTTCTTCGATCGGTGGCACCATGATCTCCATGTTCACGAGTGACTGGAATGCCGATGTGGTGGAAAACGCGCAAAAGCTGGGAGCCATCGCGGCCAAGATGGCTGTCTCGACGTCGACGAAGAGGTCGCGGTTCGCGCTGAGGCCGCCGCAGAGGTGCAGGTCGTGATGGAGAGATTCGCCGAAGGATGCGACAGACAGGTTTCCACCTTGCAGGAGATGTCGTTCTTCATGTCCGATGTAGAAGAACGAGTCTGCCGCCATGTACTTGTGGATGATCTTCTTGGCATAGTTCACGCGCTGGGCGGTGGGGCTGTGGCTGCTGTCGTCCGTCGGCACGAGCTTCTTGAACTCATCCACGCTGACCCTACACAAGCAGCATCGATGGTGAACCGCCAAGTCAAGCCAACGAACGTGCAGACAATGTCGAGGCTACGTGACACGTACAAGAAGAGGAGACGAGCAAAGTTCTTCGAATCGTGCTCGGAGAGGTATTTGAGGAACACGGCATGCATGTGGGGGTCGTGGACCACTGCGTCCAGAGTCACCGTGGCGGTTGACGAAGTCCGCAGTGGCGGCGGCGGTGGCAGTGTCGACGTCATGGAGGGAAGGAAGCGCGGCGCCGTTGTGCGTCCTGTCTGGCGAGTTGTCCAATCAAATGGTGCGGTTACACCCCAACAAATACGAGAGTAGGTTCACCACATGTGTATTAAATACAAATCCGCATATACAAATAGTTCATCCATTATAAACATAATTTTAAATAATGACGCTGTGCAAATATTCGTACTGTATCTTCGATCCATGTGGCGGCGACCGAAGGCCGACGACGATGTATGGCAAGCACAGCGAAGCTAGCTACATGCTAGACCCACAGTCAGAAACGCCTCGGAAGAGGCGTCTTCTGACAAAGATCACCCGCTTCATGCAGCCAGCGGAGACTTCTCCACCTACCTACACCCTTCCGCACCTCCACGTACCTACCGCCTCCAGCAGCATTGCAACCCCAAGTTCTTCAGAACGAATACACAAATAAGATCACCTCGCTGCACGATGTATTACCTACTTCCAAGCTTTCGATGTATGCGCCAACTCCATGGACAGGAGGGCGTCTATGTGAACATATCAACAAGATGGCATCCCTTGTATTAGACAAGAACTCATCCAGGCTAGCTAACCACGCGATACAAGAACATTGTTCTTGTATACTACGTTTCCCATGGAAACACATTTAGATCACGCCGATGCGGTTGGCCACATCCAACGCGTCGTAATCGGCGGTAAGGCGGACATACGCCTTCTTTTGGCCATCGGGTCTACAAACATCCACACAACATGAGCCATCAAGAACTCATCGCGACGATCATGGGGACAGAAGCGCGCGGACGCTCGCACATGTGCGTGGTTGCGATCGAGGGGAACAAGAGCCCAACGACGCACATGGGCGGGGTCCGCGACAAAGAGAGGCCCATGCATGACGGAGAAGTGTCTCGATCGAGACGGAGAACGTCGCATGTGGGGGTGGCCTCGAGCCTCGACACGATGGGGTGTACCTGATCAAAGTGTTGACCTTCAACGCCTTGATGTCGTACAATTGCTTGACGGCGTCCTTGATTTGGCGCTTGTTGGCGAGCTTGTCGACAAGGAAGACCAACGTGTTGTTGTCTTCGATCTTCTTCATGGCCGATTCAGTCGTCAACGGGGACTTGATGATGCGGTACTTGTCGAACTTGTTGCGCGAAGGCACCGACTTGCGGACGACCTTGGGGGCACGCGCCAACTTCAAGGTCTTGGGCTGGTAGAAGTGGGTCTTGGTGCGGATTTCCACGACCTTGCCGTGTTTGCCCTTGAGCACGCGGCGGGCGGTGGCGACGGCCTTCTTGGCGCCGGCGGTCTTGGTGGACGTGGTTTTCTTAGCAGGGGCCATCTTTCTTGGGAAATGAGCGATCGGTGTGCAACCAGTGAACGGATATCCGGTTACATATCCGGATGACACGTGACTGGCCACGAGACCCTGCTTTGTGATTGGCCACATTATACGACCCAGTTTTAGCAAATCAAAAATGACATGATGCATACGGATGTTTATCCGGATTGTGCCCAATCACGAGAATTTGAGATAATACCCAGTACTTCGAAGTATAACGTTACCTTCGTCAAGGAAACGATGCCTAGAGGGGGTCTAGTTGTCGTAATTAGCCAAAACAATGCAGTAGTGTATTACGCAAAGGAAATTACAAATATAATTGGCTACAACTCGAGTAACTTACAGTAAGCCTTATAAGGGATATGAAAGGAGGTATTGGGTGTGTGCACGTCGAAAACTATCTCCACGGTTTGTATTCGCATTTCGACCACATTATGACATTGAAGGTAAGCACGAGGCATGGTTTATACAAATCAACGCGGAAATCACAAGCAAACGACAGGGTCTTTTGGAGCTCAAGAGGAAGTAGTTGGGCAATAAGCGATGATTGACAACATACAGTGATTTCCATGGCGAAGTTCGAAGGTGTGGTGTAGTAGTTCAACGACTAAAATGTGCGACCAGTTTGAATGATTGTTGACGTTTGTCATAAAAACGATGTGTCGTTTAACTCTGAGTGTCCATGTTTCCCACAACTAATATCGCCTTGTCACATGAAAGTCGATAAAGTGTCAGATTTGACTCCGGCGTACCTGCCTACTCGATCATCGTGGTCGTCGCGGCCATAAATTTAGGTTTCATAGATGGTGTGTGGCCACATTGCAAGGGGGTTGCGATCATATTCGCGGCGACTAACGTTATGCAATTTTCCACCCATACTGGATGTAGTTTTGGTTTGCTCTCTCCTTCGTTGCTGTCAAGAAGAATGCTGTACATGGTTGTGAAGACCCCTTCAGTTCTAAGGGTATATATATGGAATCACGAAAAGAAGGCGAGAGCAGATTATTGTTGGACTAGCGACCTACACCTTGAAGGTAGCTTTCGAGCTTCTCGTTTTGGCGCCAACCTTGATGTGAGTAACCACCTGTCATCGATTTTCACAGTTTGACGTCTAAACGACACCTTTGAATCAACGTGTTGCCTATATTACCTGTCACATCCTTGTGAATTCTCTTGGAAGCCACACCGGCGGCCCCAACATCGAGGCTACATACAATACACACGAACTTACTCCTTTCCTACTCCATCGGAGTACTCATTTTCGTTTCACACAATAAGCCGTGTGGATACCCTTCGTGACTCGAGCTTTGTTGCTCGTCACTGGTCAACTGTCAAATGTATCCAACTCGGCACAAAACCCACCCCTTTGCGTGCCAATATGGAACCATAACTTCTCAAGGTCGTCGTTACGACATATGTTGAAGGATTCCCTGCAGTCATTTACAGGCACCTCGACATCATTGACTGTGCTTATCAAGGCTATGCAAGCCGCTGTCGGCTAGCCTTCATGGGCAATAACCGTATTCTAACGTTAATGTTAGCCCGTGAATGTTTGCCCGTCGTTACCGATATCACATTTCATGTCCGCTCCAAAACGCGAATGCCATAATAATAATGATTGGGTCATTAGTCGTTGGTTGCCACTAAAAAAAAAAGGAAAAACTCGGACGCCCCAGCTTGAATGGCTCTGGTGAAGGTTTTTTTCGCCATTTGTTTTCGCACTTTTGTGTCGACCAATCCCAAGGTGTAACCGCCATGTCACCTCCCCGCATACAAACATAAAGGCGGGTACAGCCTCCAGAACATGATAAGTCGAAGTCAAACTTCGGCGATGCTGTCACACTCGTCGATTTGAGTCGCAGCGAATAGCTTGCCCCACGCATCTATGATGTACGAGGACGACAGCCTCTTGGACTTGAGCTGTGACGAAGACTTGCTGGCATTGGGCCATCTTGACGACACACCGCAACTCATGATGGATGCTACGGCCGACCTCGTTGCCGAGCTTATGCGGCGCGAGCAGGTCCATCGACCTGACGCGGCCTACCTCAGCACCGTTCAGCGCGACGGCATGGACGCATCTTGGCGCGTGCGCATTGCTGCGTGGATGGTTGCCGTCGCCACCGAATTCCACTTCGCCGACGAAACCATGGACCTCGCGGTAAACTACCTTGACCGGTACCTGTCGACAATGTCTGTGTCCCAGCACGATCTGCAGCTCGTCGGGCTCGTGGCGCTCTTGATCGCGTCCAAGTTCCACGAGCCAGACGCGTTGCTAGTCGCAGAAGCGGTCAACTTGGCGCAGCTGGCAGGGTTCACCGGCCCAATGATTCGGACCATGGAAACGTCCATGCTGCGAGTCCTCGAGTGGAATCTGCATGTGGTCGTTCCCACACACTTTGTCGATTGCTTTGTCGCCGACTTGAACTACTCGTCTGGAAGGACACTGCGCGACGCGTGTCAGCCGTTCCTGGCCGCCAGTCGGGTATCACATGAGGCACTGGCGTTTCTGCCGTCGCAAGTCGCGGCCGCCGTCGTGACCCTCGCCTGTCAGTGTACCCATGACGTGGCATCCCCACCGCCGTTGAAAAGCAGCAGCCAGCTATTCGAAATCAATGCGACGCAGGTCGACTTGTGTCGGCGGCATCTGTTGCAGCATTGCGAACCCGAGCGCTCCAGCATGAAGCGAGACCGATCGCCGAGTCCGCTGGGTGTGGACGATCTCGTGGACGAGTCGGCGCGGTTTTGTCCGCTGGTGGTGAAGCGGCCAAAGTGCCAAGTGCTGTAGTCGATGTGTTGGTGATAGGTGGATACAGTAGGCCTGCGAATGAATTGATAGTTGAACGTGTAATAAATATATAGAGTGCCCTGAACGCTGTCCATGTACAATTACTTGCACTAGTGATTGGTTCTGCTCATGACGTCACCTTGAATGTCTGTGTTGGTTGTGCGAAGACTGGAAGTGTGAGCGCTGCCATCGGCTCTGTTCATGAAGATAGCCACAGTCTGGATGCTTCTCATGGCGTGGACATGATGAAGATCGTGTGATGCCGATGCACAGAGCTCCATATGGCCACAGCCCCAACTCAACTGACCAAGGCGAACGCGATGTCCTCATCCTCGGTGATTGAAGTTCGTCCACACTAGTGCAGCTTGCGTACCTCCAGCGTTGCCTGTCTGCGTTCATGTACTGTATGGGAAGACACAAGTGCCTGAATGGGCAGTAGTTGCCTGCCTGCATGTTGCCATGGCCCATAACGATGCCAAGGCTGGTGATCTCCTTTATCCGGATGATACATTGTTCCTGATTATACTTGAGGACAGTATGTTACTGAACCTGGAAGTAGCCAATCATCCGGATAAGTAACCACTTTGCATTGCGTTTTGGATCTAACGTTATCGCCATTATTCTCCTACCACGGCACTCAAGCCATCATGGCGGCACCGTTCGACAACAATGACCTGCTCCAAGTACTGGACATCTCCATCAAGCATGTCAGTCTTCCCTTGGGTGACAACAACCCTGGAACCGATGACTCGCCGCGTTACAACGGCATCTACTCGCCAGTCCATCGAGGTCCGGCCTATGTGTTCGAGACCGACCCCATCACACACAACATGCAGCGCATGACACTTGGATTCGATGTGAACGAGTGCTGCTTGCCGCCAGGATGGACAGCTCGGTTCTCTCCCTCGAAACAGCGCGTGCGCTTTACTCATGAAGCGACTGGCGCCATACAGTACACCCATCCAGGCATGTAATACCTACCGCCTTGCCTTCCCAACATCCACCCATCACCCCGCGTCGTCCTCACTTCCTTGTGGGAACATCGCATGCATCTCTGGATCGACACGGGCCACACAATCGACGGTGGTCAACGAGTCTCCAAGATGTAATGTAGAACTGCTTGTAATTAGTGTTTGAATGCGTGAGAAGAGTGTACAGTCCGTAGCCCATGCTTCTCGTCAGTGTCCACCTTCATTTGCTCCAGCGATCATCGCATGATGCGCTCGGCGTTCGTCGGCAACTCATGCGAAATCTTGAAATACTATTACATATTATTTCTCAATATTGTATTCCATAATACAATATATATATTTACGAAGGATATTGTATCCCACAGTATTGCATCGGTCCCATTATTGCAAACTGCCACGACCATGGTGCTGAACGCGTTAGTGTCGTTCAACTCGCCCCTGCAGCTGGTCTTGGACAACTACAGTCTCGTGATGATAGAGATCGTGAGCTACTTCATCTTCCTCATGACATGCGTCCATGCATCTGCGTCTCCGCGCCGGACGCAGCTCGTGCTTGGTGGGCTTGTCGCGTTCCACACGCTCTACTTTGGCCTCGGGCAGCTCGACCCGACCCTTGCCATCATGTGGCACGGCCAAGCCCTGGTTTGACCTTCACTCAATCCACACCGCCTGTTCCATCCCTTGACCTCTCGTTGTAGATCATGCTCTTTTACAGCCACGTGCCAGTGTACGCGGTGCTCCTTTTCGCGTCGCTCTACTACCTGTGCGTGCGGCGCATTCTACTGCTAACATTATCGATCGTTTTCCATTCTCATTCTGTGTGTCCGTGTAGAGCGTACATCGCCACGCTCAAGCTACACTTGCATTTGTCGTCGAGCATCGCGGCCGTGGGGCTTCTCACCCTCGCCTTGGTCTTCCCCGCCGAACTCGTGGGCTCCAAGCTGCTGTGGTGGACGTGGCACGACACCGATGAGACCCTCGACGACCGCTTCCTCAACGTCCCCCTCGCAGCTCTGGCCTCCCATGCGTTCTCCGCGTCTTCGTTCTACCTTCTGCTCCACCTCCTTCGAGAGTCCGACTGCCGCTTTGTTTTTTCTCGCTCACAAATACATATCCTCTGTAGATATCTCACATTTGGCCTCGAGTTTCAGCCAGCGAACGCCACCAACGAATACTTGGGCGTCGGTGGCGCCACGTTGCTGTCGTTCCCGCTGTCCACGCTGGCGTTTGGGCTGACTTTTCAACTGTTTCATGGGCTATTGGATGTGTCCACCCATGTAAGTACAGTAGGAAAACCATATTATATGTGATATCGTTCGTATTGGAGTCGCGTATATTGATTCTCCATATCATTAGACAGTCTTGGCAGCGTTGATCGTCGTCGCCACGCTCTGGGTATGGAGTTCTGATCGCCGTGGAGGTATGTAAAAAACCCATGTATCCATTTCCTCTCAAACTCGATAGTACTATAGAACTCATAAACTTTATAAATTTATATATTGTGGGCATATCGCCCAAATATTGGACTTGCCTCACGTTGCCAACTAGCATTCGAATCGAACTATACTATACAAAGACTAGTATATATGTGGTTTTGCCCCCCAATGCGGAGGGACTGGGTCGATTCAAACGTTTGGATTGGCAGAAAATTCGACAGGACGTGATTTGATTGGCTTTGGCGGTTCTTTAATCCATTCTCTTGAGACATTCAATTCTGCTGAATGCTCTCGATTTGACAATATAATAATAATATGTACTACGTTAGTTATATCTATAAACAAATTCAAAATGATATGTACTCTTTCCACAAAAGAAAACATCTTTTGGTTACTAGAGTATGTGCTTCTAGTAATATATATATATATATATACAGTCTTGGGGCATAAATACCTACCATACTGTACGAGAATCGTTTCGTTCGTAGTACATAATATATAAGTATATGGATATGTCCAAAGCCACGATAAAACTTGAATATTTTAACCCTTTAGAGAGATTTTTCCTTCGATACCACCTCTATACATTTATATACATATATATATATCCTCCTATAACAGCCCTACATAATAGATATATATATATATATACTGATACCTCGTTGGATAGGTGACGTGGATAAGAAGGTGGTACCATGGCAGTACGATGGCGAGTGGCATCACTTGTGGTTTGACCATGCATTGGTCCAGTGGGGAGTCGTATATCTGGCGCTCATGCCGCTGCTGCTTGTCGTGGTAACTCCGTCGCATATGATTTCTCTGGGGTACCACCAGCTGCTGGGGGACTGCAGCCATGTGACAACGTACTCGACTCTGTTTGGGACGCCCCAATCTCGGTTCACATACCTCTGCCACTTGCATTTTGACGAAGCGTACTCGTTCTGCGAGGTCCCTCGATCTCAGGTACGGTCTATTATACACATGTTCGAGTTGTCCATTTTCAACGGAAGATTTTTTTGCACGTGTTTTGTTGAATTTTGATTTTTTTGCGTTTTTTAATCGTATTTGACAGTCTTCGTTGAACAGTATTTTGGAGCCTACAGTAACATCGTGTCCAGTGGGAAGTACAATTGTCATTTTCGCTGAAATAGTATTTTGGACTTATGCATATCTCTTGAAGTGTTATTTGTTTATCTTTTACGAATCGATTAGAATTAGGTTTTAAGCTTATTCCTCCATGTATGGATGGAAGAATGTGTATGTTGTTGGCGGGACCAAACTCGGCTGAGTGTTGATTGGCTGATTCGACTAAATCATTCGAACCGATTTGGCTATTGTAGTACTAGTACACATTAGTATGCGTTGCTTGTTGAATATGAGTAGTAAACCATGCTCTGCGACGTAGCTACATGTGGGCGACCCTTGGTACAAGATCTGCGGGGTAGGGTATCCCCACGGCGTGTTTCCCAACTATTTGGTCGTGTGTGTGGTGGTATCTGTGACACTGTTGCTGGTACTGCGCGATATTTTCACCTTGTCGCGGCCAGCGTGGATCCACCGTCTGCCCAGAGCCGAAACCCATACGCCAGTCAAAGTGGGAGAAGGCTCGTAGTTAGTACTCCACTTGTTGAGTACACTTCTTAATAATACTTTGTGGGGAATCTAATCTCAGTATTCAAATCGAGATGGACTCCGTTAGGATGAAGATTACTAGTACTACTAGTATCACCAACTACTACTATATACTACTACTACATACTACTACTACATAAACTGGATCGAGACTCTTACGAAGGATAGCACCACTACTACTACCACTACTACTACATACTCTACATACTACTACTACCACTACTATCACTACATACTACTACAGTACTAGTAGTATGCTGTAGTACTACTACTACTAACACTACTAACTACATACTATTAATACTACATACTACAACTACATAACTACTACTACTACAGGGAACGACGCTGAGTAGCGGCGTGATGAGGAGTTGTGATTGGACAGAGACGCGGTTCGAATTGACCAATTGAGGCTCACAAAACCAAAATATAAAAGAAGTATCGAATGAAAAAAATGTGATTTGGATATAAGATTACAAAGGATATGAATATAAAGAGTAATTAGTACTAGGAAGACATCGAAGCCATGGTTTTCAAGTCCTCATTCTTGCAGGAAACTAATTATCACAAGGGATCAAGGTCATAAAAATGCCTATTACACATATTGCATTACAACGCTGTGACACATGGACTGGATTTGCACCCCTCATGGGGACGAACAAATTGTGATATGACCCCTCATAAAAATACTACAATTTAATATTCTATTCAAGTAAAGAAAAAAGTATACTGTATGGGTCAATGGAACTACATGCCATAGAATACACAACTCCCCTCCATAATTGGTCCCGAGTTAGCCGGTCATTACAGCTGCATGTCGAACAGTCGTGCCTTCAGCTAAGCGTACGACATCGAGCTTTTGGGTGAGCGTCGGTCAGTGTCGAGGCTTCGTTGGCAGCACTGTGGCTGCAGGTAGCACTGACATTCAAGGTTATCAAGTAGTGGGGTGGAAAGTTGTTTAACTTGTGCTGGGAAAAATTCCGCCAATCATAGTCGAGGTAACGATATCGATGATTATAATTGGCTGATTTGAAAATTTATTCCCGCGCCGTTACTCAGCGTCGTTCCCTGTACTATTAATAACTACATACTACTACTACATACTACTACTACATGCTACTACAACTACATACTACTACTAACTACATACTACATACTACTAACTACATACTACATACTACTAACTACATACTACTACTACATACTACTCACCCATACATAGTACACACATGAAGAATTTCCATCAAAATTGAACAACCATTTTTTTGCTCATTATTTTTCTGAACATTAAAATTATTACACATAATTTTTATAAACAAAACGCCATCTCACACGAACAACAACAACTTCGTGCCTTGTTCCTCCTTCGCATCCGCTTCCATCTTCGTCGTCCCTGTCGTCGTCGTCGTAGTAATACTAGTAGTAGTAATACTAGTAGCTGGAGTGGCGCGAAGTTGGGCTAGTTGGGCTTCGATGGCGGCCATGGCGTCGGGTGTGAGTGTGTATTTGCTCCAGCTCCACATTTGAACGATGCATAGCACGACGGGGGGGGCCACAAGCAGTTGGAACATGGCCTTCTTCATATTCTCATTGTCTTCTTCTTTCAAGCCAGAAGTCGAGACGTGGAGCCAGTGGGCCGCTAGAATCGGCAGCACAGAGTCCATGGGCTTGCAAAACACAGCGTTTAGACCCATCAGCATGGCACTGGACGACCACGTGGGTTGATTGCGACTACTTGGGGGGTCTTGGAGATGACGTGGCGATGTGGCGGAGTGTAGTGGCGCTGCTTGCAACCGTCTACGTACAGAAGTTAATACAAAAGATAACATAAACATAATAGGCAAAACAAAGTCCTCAGGAAGTGAGAGTTCGAAACAGTGTATTGTGGTTGTTCGAGTGAAATTTCATTGTGTTGTGGCGTGGTTTCTCGGTGGAATTTAAATCTATTTGATTGGCTACTTCAGATGAACTCAAAATTATTAGCCAATCAAAACCTTCTAAATAAAATTCAACCAATCAGATCGATTGTGGTCGATTGCACCCCCTCCCCAAATTTGTATCAAATCGACTATAGTACGTCGTCACATTGTAGGGGGTTTCTTCTAAACTAGAACAGCGACATATGAATTGTGACCTTAATCTTGGCAAGATTATACTCTACCAATTTGGAGTTATTTTCGCTAATTAATATTTATTGAAATATTACATGGATTTTGAATAATATAATTAAATAACTAATTACTTGAAGTAAAATAATATTTGTATGTATATCAATATTTGGTAAATTTTGAAAATTTGAAAATTCTATTTCGATTTTTTTTTAATTCTAAATTTTAAAATATTAATATTTTAGGTACATAGAAGCGTACAGAGCGAATGAGATTGAGGGACGACGACACGATAACATGATCAATGCTATACTTCGAACCAGTTTGAGTGAGTTGAACACAGGACACACTGGTTTCCATATAAAAATATTCTTCCGATTCAAAGAAATACTCGGATCGATCGATTCGAATAGATATATTTGGTGAAACAAATAGGAGCCGTGTTCAAGAATTATTTAGTCTGAAATCAATTTTATATTTCAATAAAAATATTAATCAGTCCGTCGTGGGTTCAAATCCCACACACTATTTTTCTACATTCGTTCCAAATGTTATTTGTCTGCAACACGACCGTGTCTAGGTACTACTACAAGGACAGTGCCTAGATAGTAGGTACAACTGTACTAGTAGTAGGTTGTACCTGAGAGTCACTACTACTACTACTACTA